TTTTCATCTAGTCCTCCTCCAGTGGCCAAGCTCGAATATTTTTGCCGTTGATTGTTGAAATATTTTAGCGTGATATACATACACGATATTGAATCGCCTTTCTATAATCTCTATTTTACATAATCAATATTTTATATAAATCTATTATAAGCTTGTAATCTTCTTTATTCACGGCTATTCTTATTTTTCGAAAATAGATTCAAGATAGCAATGATCGACGGCTCACTCGACACGGCTCACTCTGTGTACACACGTTGTGTTCCGTATTCCGCGAGCGTGAAAGCTCGTGCATAAAGTCAACGAGAGGAAGGTAGCAGCGCTTCTGCAACGAATTCGCAACCGCGAATCCGTATTCAACGGGGAAATTTGTTTTTTCGGTAACTCTCGGGAAATAAATTTTCTTACATCGGATGTACCGGGATGCGCATTTCGAAGTTCATCGAAGTGAAAGTGTTGCAACTCCCACTAACTGTGCGCATACGGACCCGACGTGCCATGTACGCGCCACCTGCATTTCTGTATGTAGATCAGCGGGGTGATTAAGGCGTGTGTGTATCAATTACCGCGAGTAGTTCGACCGCCTTACGGCCGCCGATCACTGTAATTTTCTCGCTGCCGGAGCCGCCGTCGCGCGTACAAGAGCGTCGTTGATTGCGGGCGAGACGGCGCTGGCAGGTAGTAAGGTACAGGTGGTCCGCCGGATCGATAATTATGATTTTCCTAAGTGATAGTTTTAACGTGCGCTTTAACGTTAAAATATAAACGCTCGATGATACAGCGTGCGGCCGTAACTGTGTAATTATACACGGGAAGATCCGATCTGTAACGATCCGCCGAATGGGAACTCTCATGAAAACTCCCATGGGCGGTTGATAGCGATAGAGGGGAAAACACACAGTCATAATGAAGCGCTTAGCTCCGCGATTCGATGTGATATCGATACCGCGAGTTATTACGATTTATGGCCCGGCTATCTCCTGGCCTTTACCGGCGCTAATCGGGCGCCGCCTTAATAATAACAGCTCGAAAAGCGCTTACCTCTTCTCGTAAGTGTAAGAGTTAATCCGAGTTGAAATTTCGACGCTGCTCTGTTAAGAAAATATAGGTGAGAATCAGGCAAATTATTGAGATAACACATTCGTTTTATTTTAACATTGTTCCACGTGTAATCATTATTTTATGAAAGGAAATACAATGATCAAACTCAAATATTTTTTTTAACCTCTTATTTAATCAAAACTGAAAAAAGGACATTATTCGCTTTGCCCGATCCTGCCGGGTAAAGCGAATATGGCACGCGAACAAAGCGAATTAGGATAGAAAAATTGCAGTTAATTAGCACACTCATCACAAAAGTAGCTACTAAGTCCTAAATACGATGTGCGTCCTTTGGGACATCGGGACGTCCTCAACCTAATTCAACCTATTTTTCTATCTTAATTCCTATTATCTTGTAGAATTAAAGATTTAACACACGGCCGAAATTTCTGCCTGGATTACCCCCTGACAGAATATCACCGGACAACGCGCCGCTCCCCGTTAATCCCAATCTGTACGAGTTCATTTTCTAGGGCCTCGAACGCGCCGAGCGCGTTAACCTTTAATTACAGGGCGGCTGAAGGCCCCTAAATTTATCGCTAATAACGTTGCGGCGGACGTTAAGCTCCATCGTCGCCGACGGAGATCTTCACGGGTACACGCGTGCGTATGTCACGCGCTCACGTCAAACGAACGCGCCGGCCTGCGCATATATTCGCATTGCCGCGGCTCGCCCGTTCGTTCGTTCGTTCGTTCGTTCGTGCGAGCGAGCGGCTTTCGAATATACACATCGCTTGATTATTCCGGCGTATTCCTTTCGAGTGACGCTTTAATGAAACGCGCGCGGCGGGAAAAAGAGAGAGGAAGGGGAGGGGGGGGGGCGGGGGAGGGAAGCGAGCGAGAAGAGTTCCGCACCGTAAATATATCATCGTCGTTCTCGTCGTCGTCACGTCGGAATCTCTTTGTGCGAGTCACGACCGCGAACGAAACCGAACGTCCGAAATGTGAGCGGGCATTATAGCTCTTGCCAGTCGGCGGATGATGGATCTCGAGGAACAAAAACGAAGAGGTGTTGCGTCTGTACTTGGATGCGAATACACGCGCACGCGGCGGAAAAGAATCGGGTTGAATTAATGCGACAGTGAGCAAACCGAATGTGTTTTGGTGGTTGTAGTTTATAAGTTTCGGGGAAAAATCCGAGTTTTTCCTTCATTTTTCCGCGGATCGTTCTTCGGTTTTTGTTCCAACGGTGCCAAAAATTCGTTTAGAAAAATTCATGTGTGTTTTCGGTTAAAATCCGCTAATACATTTACTTTTTGCCGTAAATAAGGCGTGATACCAAAAAAATCTGCGGGAAAATCGATAAAAACAGTTTCTTCCGAAACTTGAAAACTGAAATAAGTTTTGGTCGGAGGAAACGGAATTTCCTAAGAACCGAATTTACGGCAAGTGGAAATTCTGTCTCCTTCAACGAAGACGCATTTGGTTCTTTCATCGTCACATTAATCCCAGTGACCTTTTCTTTCCGTGTGCGATAGTCTTGAGGAATTGATGATGATTATCGTGAGTCGGTATGGAACCCTAGAAAAAAATTTAGCACCGGAGAATATAAGCTATGTGCGCATCTTTCAACCCTATAACGGCCGTCTGAGAAATAATGATAAAAATATTTATTTTATTGGATGCTGCTTTTATTGAATAGGGAAAATGAAATAAATTGACCGAATCTTACGGGAAAGAGAATTGTAATATTTAACTAGACAATGCGAGATTTTTTTAAGGAAAGTTGCAAAATAAAAGAACTTCATATTATGCCTAAAAGTTATTTGTATTTTAGAAAAAATAGTAATCTGCAGTTTAAACTGTTACCCAATTATATGGTTGTAAGCTATTTTTTTATTCTATACACTGGCGAGGGGAGGGGGATACTTTCGCATATCACATAATATTTGAAGGGAGAGTGGAAAATACCGAAATTTCACGTGATTGTTGAATGGCCCCCTAATATCGAGAAATAGAGATTCGGCGGAGCCTGCTGCGGTAGATTTTCGCGACTCGCGATTGCGCGTTTCGAACGATCTCGGACATTCGATCGGTACTGTTTCGCCGCACGTTTCATCCCTTTCCGAGTGATCGCGCGTTCAGGTCGCTTATAGGTTGCTCGGCCGTTGGTCGACGTCGTCATCGTGAGCCACGTCGAGATTGAATCGTTACACGTTTCGCCCGCGCTCGTGACTAATGCTTCCGCGGCAGACGGCCGATTGTTCCAACAAAAATGTATTATGCGGCGGCGGACCGGAGACGGTCGTAAAATATGAATCCCCGCAGTTGGGAAATTTCGCCGGAACGAGCGCTACGTGCACTGAAAAAGGGCAGCCGTTGGGACGCCAGCGAGCGAGCGGGCGAACGAACGGACGGTGGCTTGTTATAAAAGTTCCTCCTCCTCGCGTAGCGCAATACCGGAGAGTGGGGTATCCGTTTTCGAGCTCGAAACTGCGGCCACAATTAAATTGCTCCTTCTTGCGCACTCTTTTGTCTCGGCGACGACCGTGCGGATTCACTTTGCCGTTCCTCTTCGCGATTCGGATAGCTCGCGCAAACGGATAGGGCGCCCTCCCCCGAGAGAGTCTCACCCTTTTTCATTCGCCTTTCTCTCTCCCTTCTCTCTCTCTCTCTCTCTTTCTTCCTCTCCACAGCTCTCCCTCTGCAACTTCCACACGAATGCACGGACAGCCAAACGACGAGTCCGAGTTCGGTGACTAATATTGGAATATCCGCCGATATCGGCCGTTACCATGCACTGTACATCGCTATTGTACTACGTGACCGCTCCTAGTCTAGTCGAAAACGGACGTTGGCTTCTTCGCTCAGATTACGATCGATACCGCTTTCTGACGCGGTTCTGTTTAGCGGCTCGTCACGGAGTCCTCCTCGAGACGGACTAATTATTATACGACGATCCGATAAGCAAAACTTACACCGTAAGCTCACGATGCCTCCGCACAGTTCCGGTCTCGTACCCTCCTCAGTTCTTAAGGATGTATCACTCATATCTCGAAATAATGAAAAAATCGGGAAAAAATTACACAAACCGACAACTACGTTGCATTTAAAATTGACACGAAACAATTTGACAACAATAAATTTAATAGTGGTAGTAGTAAATTTAATAATAGTAGTAGTAGCAGACAATAGTAAATCCCTTCTTAAATTTTAATTTAATAAATTGCTTAGATTTGTTAAATCGTTAAATGAATATATCGGGCCACGAAGAACTAAGCATGGTTAGTATCATATTGAATAAACCAACTTCTTACATCGTCACATGAGTTTACTCAAATTAAGATCCAAACATTTCGGTCACATTTGATATCTCCTTGATCTTCTTCCACACATCGTCGATCTTAAACTCGAAAACTATACGTCGTTGAAACGAGACAGTATATTCTCTTTTCCTCGTCACTGACGATACAGACAGACCGAAGGAGAGATCTCGAGTTTTCGGTACTCTCATTTTCCAAGCCAGATTTCCCGACGATCTTGAAACTCATACTCGGGTTTAAATCGAGCAGCGAGGTTAACGTTCACGCTTCCCGTTCCATTCTCCTCAGACGCAGGCTCAGAGACCGTAAACAACGTGTGGAAAAACAACGTTAGCTTTCGGGGGGGGGTGGAACTCGACTTGGGCCGCGCGCTACACGACAGCCACCGCGACATCCGAGGGGGAACGTTCCCTCGAGCCCCGGCATTAATTTTCCACGGGGTCGGAACCGTCCCATTGTTATCTATCGGTAAGGGCCGAGGCGCTATATCTCAGCGGGCGGGACAAATCACCACGTGGCTCGCCGCCACTATTTCTCCCGTTAAAGTCTCTGACCGGCGCTACATGTATAATAGATTCTTCCACCAGCAGCCCCTAATAACTCGAGCTTCTTTACGAGAGCGATCCTCGCTGCTTACAGATATGCCTGCTGGGCCTCGTCGTGAGCGACAACAGCACGATCGGCGATCACTCGATCACTGAGGACGTCTCGGAGATCAGCAACACCGGCAACGATTTCGCCGTTGACGCCGTAGATCAGGTAAAAACGCTTTTTCCTCNTTTTCCCCCCCCCCCCCCCCGCTTTCCGCCTTTCGTCGCCCGCTCGCTCGCCCTCGCGGGCGATCGCAATCGCTTTACTCCCGGCGTGACGTATGCGGTCGAGCTTTCAAAGCCGGCTCGGGAGGTAATCCTTCGTCCACTATCGGGTCGGAAAGTTCGGAGAATCGCGGTCATGGTTCGCCGGTAAAAGGCGAAAACGAGCGTTCGATCCCGCGACTCGAATGACGTGTCTACTCGAATGTACAAGTGCCAACCGCACACGAGAGACGGACCAACGCGGCGGCGACGACGACGACGTACACAAATGGGGGAAGAGAGAGAGAGAGAGAGAAAGTCGAGCGAGAGGGCTGAAGGAAATGTCACCGAAAGCTCGGCGAAAAATAAACACCTTTATTCACGCCGGCCGCGGACGGAAATGGGTCGCAGAAATCGGACAACTGTGTTGTGTCGCGCGCGTCCGCAAAGCCCGTGTCCTGCTTTTACCTCGCTCCGGCCCGCGTCTCACTCGGTCTCATCTCGCAGCTAGGTAACTCGCAGGGGAGTTTTACGCGTCTCTCTTCGCCACCCGGCGAAGAATGTTTAAGTTTACGACCGTCTCTCTCTTTCTCTCTCTACGACGTCTCACCGGGCGGATTTCCTTCCCTCGGTCGTCCTCGTTCCTTCTCCCTGGCCGATGTTCCTCCTCCTCGAGACGCGTTTAAACGCCGACGGGATCGGGAAGAGTCGCGCTTCCTGTTGTTTCCTGCGAACGGACCGTCGCTTATCACGCATGACGTGACATCGGGGTCGCGCGACACCGAGAGACGAAGAGGCTGCGTCGCCGGCGAGATTTACGATCTCGCGAGACTTAGCCGCCCCGAAACGCCGCGGTCAAACGTCTCGTTCTTCAAAATTTCACGCTCCATATCGCGCCGGAAATTCCTCCCGCCGAGTTTCACCCTTTCCATGAGAACGATAAGTACTTGTTCGTAGTCGGTGGCCTCCGGGCACGTCAACGTCCGGGTAATCGATGTTGGAGATCGCGTCACGCCTGAAATCGAAAATTACCTATTCCTATTTCAAAAACACACCTTAGCTGCCTTTTAGCTGGATTTTAGCTCCGATAGCTAATTCGTTCTCCGAGTGTCGCGGGAAGCTTTCAATCAATGAACGCACTGCAAAAGCAGCAAGTAAACGTCCGAAAAGCAATCTTCCAGATCAGTCTGAACGCTTCAGCGGGATATAACCAGCTTCCTCCCGGTTCACTGGAAACTTCCCTGATCTCTTCCTTTTCGATCGGGTGGGGGTATTTTTTCCTCCACTTTCGGGAAGATCGGAAAGATCTGCGCGCGCGCGCGCGGTCGGTCTCAAAACTTCTCGCTCATGAGCTCCCGCGAGTTCGCAGTTTCTCCTCTTCCAGCACGAGTAAAATTTTACAATAAAGAAAATTAAAGTTTTACGTGCGTGCGATTTGCGTTACGTATATGAGGGCTGGGAAGGAGGTCGAGCCGAGCGAGTCACATTCGCTTAAAGTTACGAGAAAGATTTATGCCGGGATGAATTAACAAAGTTGGAGCATTACCTTGACAGAACTCGGGGAAATCGTAAAATTTTTTGTAACGCGAGACCTCGGCGCGCTACAAAGAGGAACCCGAGCGTCCTTCGTCGAGGGAAAAGTATAACGAGATCGCTGAAACGGATCTTCGACGGCCTTTTTGATTCGCCTTACGAGCGATTCTCGCCGTGATCGTCCCTCGATTCTACCGAGACTCGTGTGCGCGACTCGAAAAAGAAAGAGAGAAAGAGAGAGAGAGAGAGAGAGAGGGAGGTCACACGGTGACGATCGCTTCTTCAGCGTTAACGCCGGCCGGATGAAATATTGAAGTCGGAGGACGGGCTCCGAACGAGTTTCATTGGCCGGCCGGTAGAGTAGCGGAATAGTTAAAACGGGATATGCTTTTCCGCTGCGCCGAGCTCCTCAATTACGTCCGACCGCATGTGACTCCTGATGGCCCCCGCTCGCCGTGGGTTCCGGCCTGCGTAATAGTTAAACAGGGCATCGCCCACGTATCTAGCTGGACCAGCCTGCATTTCCAACGTATCAGCGTGCGCGTGTGTGTGCGGAGATTAGTCTGGAAAGTGCATCGCAGTCGCGCGTGTTCAATCTTCCTCGCGTATAATCATCGTGGGGCGCTTTTGCATACGCCTTTTTAACAGCCGCTCATACTAAGTCNATATATAGATAAATAAATGATTTTCCCGACGAAGCGAAAAGTTCTATCCATCGGCTGTAAATGCGACCCGCCCGATATTCGCCGATTGAAGCTTCCTCCAGCGCCGTATCGCGATGCCTCCCGCGGAGAAATAAGATTTAACGTTATCCCAAGTGATCCGTGAGCGCGGCGAGAAAAACTTTAGGGGCGGTGAGAATAGCGCGGCCGAAGAACGCGAGCCGTGTGTGTGGTGCGCCACGCAACTCGCTCGTTCCATCCCGCCGTTATCATTCCGCCACGCGACGTTAGGATGCAGCAGCCCTGCGAATGCACTCCGCCTCGCCGTTTTCTAATGTTGTTGAATCGTTTCTACACGCCGATTACGTCTCGCTCTCCGCGCGGCGAGCGGGAATCCCCGGCGGCGTACAGTACGTGTAAATTGGCCCGACGCACTTCGTAAATTCCGGCTGTCTCTGTGCCGGAGTAATCGCAATCTTACGGGGAACGCGAGGGGATAAGCGCTGAATTTCATCGCGCGGGGCCTCCTCCCTTCCCTCCGAATAAGAGAAAAATATCTGCCGCGTAACCACTCACACACACACACACACACACATCGCCGTTACAGAAACGTACTTATGGAAGTTCTATTTCGAAGTCCGAAGCGATTTCCGCAGGCGAACTTTCACGCTATTTTGGAACGATTCAGCGTACACGAGTAACCTGTGTCTGTATGTGTGTATGCGTGTGCCTATGTGTGTTCATACCGCGAAAGTTTATAGAAGTATCCTCGACAGCTACCTGGGATTTTTATTAAAAATACGTTCCCGTCGCGCGAATATCTACGGAAGTATCGCGAGATGCGCGCGCGCGCACGACCGATGCTTTGTTTGTACGGAGTCGCGCTTTATTTTCGTTCGGGAAGCACCGCGCGACGCCTTTGAAATAGAGAGTAGCGGGAGAATGTTCTATCAAAATTCCGTCAACTCCTCGAACTACTTTCGAGTGATACTCGGGAGAGGGGGGGGGGCTCTTTTCCTCGGCGGGAGNTTTTTTTTTTTTTTTTTTTTTTTACGATGTTCGGAGTAAGATTATCCGCTAACGTTGTCGCGGAGAAAAATTGCCCCCCCCCCCTCTCCCCCCGTCGCGATCACACACCGACGATATTGCAATATCTTCGGCACGATATTAGAACTTTGGGGAGGCTCTTTACGGTGCGGGACCGATGTGCGGGGGATGCAAGTGCTTGAAACTTTCGTCGACGATGAGACCTAACGATCTCAGGAGAAGCCCAAGCACAGCGTTAAGCGCGAAAGTCCACGAACACGTTTATGAATAAACGTTAAATTTGCCCCGGCAAACGATGTTTCGTTTTTTTTTTTTCTGCACAAACAACCGGAGAAGGAAAAAGCTCGATCCGCTACTTACTTACTTTGTAAAAACAGATTTTCCCGCGAACCGGACGGTCTTCTTTAAATTTGTCTTGAATTATTAAAGCTTCAGTTTAACGTTTCCAGCCTCTTAATTTCCTGGAGTGATAACTCACTCGAAAAGTAGAGTGACAGCCAAGTCATTCGAATTCGAGTGATCTTTCACTCGCACAGAGCGAATTCTCCACGTTGGGATGTGTTTTCACTCGAATCTGAACAGCGAATCTGATGTATTTCACTATCACGGGAAGAAATACGGTCTGATCGATTGAAACATTCGCTCGTACGGAGTCAGAATCCGTTCTAAGCTTGAATGTAAGATTCACTCTTGCGATTTCGAGCGGCAGGGTTTTCATTATCGCTCCGAGCGAAAATATTGTCTCTTTTCGTTTATTTTGAATGAAATTCCACTCCGAGAAATTTATAGAGCACCATCAACGTAACGGAGCAAATCTTACAAGGAAACATATCGAAATGTTCCCTTTTGATTCCGATTTTAGATCACTTTAGATATGTTATACAGCGACTGAGAATAAGAGATACGTATTTTTTATATGTTTTTATATGTTTTATATGTGCCTTCTTGTATATTTATGAGTTGAAGCACACGATATTTCGTTCATTGTATATCTATTTTTTTTTACTGTAATACATTTAACATTTATAATCATTATATAATATTTAATAATTTTAATAATCGCGAATAAATAATATAAGCCTTTTGTACTTATTTCCGACGTACCGATTTCCGATTGTTCAGCGGAACCTTTAGTTAGCGTTTTATTAATTTAGATAATATTTATGAGATAATACTATAATTTAGATAATATTAATATTTATGCTTTTAAATCTCCTTGTCGAATCTCTCTCAGTAAGAAAAAGATTTTCGTTGGTATACTTTCGCGGGATGCTCTTTCACTGTTCGCGCGGTGCGATCGTCGGACGACGATTAAACCGACGAGCTCCGTGCGTTCGTAATTCGTCACCGAGGGGGGATCGACCGCGAGAGTCCGTAAAGCACGATCGCGTCCAGGGAAAAATGCGCGAGCAGTTTTACGGCGCGACCGCTGGCACCACCGGCGCCATTGCTACGTATCTGAGTCGCGACTGTCTCTCTCCTCACGACTAGAGAGACCACGACACTTTTATTCCGGATGTCATTTTGCCTCCGACAACCGGAAGCCGTCGGTTGCGCGTAAAACTTGCAAGCTTGCCAGGGGTTCCTTGTTATCGCGACCTCCCCCGCTCGTTTCGCGTTCTCGTCTGAAGACGCGCGCACCTGATAGGCTGGGAACCACTGATCTCGCACGCACACGGCAACCTCGACAATTCTCTTCTACCCTTGCTTTTACAGTTATTTT